CCTGGCCAGCCTGGATGAGGGGCTGATGGCTGTTTGCAGCTGGTCACACCCCCTTTAGGGTGGGGGTCCCCACTGGGGTGCCTGGCCAGTCTGGGTGAGGGGCTGAGGGCCGTTTTCAGGCTGGCAGGTGACTGAAGCTCCCAACCTCTCCTTTTTCTCTTTTTTTTCTTTTTTATTCTGGGATTTATTTACCTTCTATGGCTGTTACTGGATCTGAGAGCCGGCTTTAGCTCTGAGACCCGGCTCTAGCTTGAGGCCACGGCTGCTGAAAACAGGTATCTGGGGTTTGTTTGGCTTCTATAATTGAAACACTGATGCAGTCCTGCTCGCTGAGGCCCGGCTAGCTGAAAGCAGGTATCTGGGGTTTGTTTAGCTTCTATAATTGCAACATTGTTGCTTAGAGTGCAGCTCAGAGCCCAGCGGCAGGCGGGAAACCTTGGCTTCCTCCATGGCTGGGGCAACCAAGCCTCATGTTTGCTTCAGCTGTGTGGCTGCCAGCTGCTATCTTGGATGGCAGTTAATTTGCATATAGTCCTGATTAGCCAATGGGAAGCATATCGGAGGTACGGTTAATTACCCTATTTGTCTTTTATTAGATTAGATGAGAATTGTATCTATGTTTTTTGTTCTAAAACAATGTAGACACAATAGCTTTGCTAGAACCTGTCCCATAGTAGATGCTAAATACATATTTGTTGAATGGATTGATAAATTCATGAATTAACAAACAAGACTTACTATGTTTAAATAATTTCCTTGCATTGAAATTCATTGGTTCTTTGATATAAAATGCAATATCTAACAGAGGTGGAAGGGGAGAGAGACCACAACTAAGATTTCTTCTCTATTTTTCCAAATCTAGGATGGTCAAAAATGAAACTAAAACCCTACAAGCTTATTAATAGTTATACCAACCTAATCATGATAATTCTGAACCAAACATATGTGACACTGGCCTCATTTATTCTTAATGGTATCCCAGGACTGGAGCACATGCACCTCTGGATTTCCATCCCATTCTGCACGATGTATGTTGTGGCCATGGTAGGGAATTGTGGGCTCCTCTACCTCATCCGCTATGAGGACTCCCTGCACAGGTCCATGTACTACTTTTTGGCTATGCTTTCCTTAACTGACCTTGTCATGTGCTCTAGTACAATCCCTAAAACCCTCTGCATCTTCTGGTTTCATCTCAAGGAAATCAGCTTTGATGAATGCCTTGTCCAGAAGTTTTTCATCCACACCTTCACAGGGATGGAATCTGGAGTGCTCATGCTTATGGCCCTGGATCGTTATGTGGCCATTTGCTACCCTCTGCGCTATTCAACTATTCTCACCAATTCTGTCATTACAAATATTGGGTTTGCTACTTTCCTGAGAGCAGTGCTGCTCATCATTCCCTTGGTTTTCCTCACCAAAAGATTACCCTTTTGCAGAGGCAATATAATACACCATACCTACTGTGACCAGCTATCTGTAGCCAAGTTATCCTGTGGAAATATCAAGGCCAATATTATCTATGGTTTGATGGCTGCTTTCCTGATTGGGGGCTTTGACATCCTGTGCATCACCATCTCTTACACCATGATCCTCCGGGCAGTGGTCAGCCTCTCCTCAGCAGATGCTCAACAGAAGGCCTTCAGTACCCGCACTGCCCACATCTGTGCCATTGTTTTCTCCTACAGTCCAGCTTTCTTCTGTTTCTTTTTTAATCGCTTTGGGAGTCACAAAATCCCTCCATCTTGCCACATCATTGTAGCCAATATTTATCTGCTCTTGCCTCCCACTATGAACCCTATTGTCTATGGGGTGAAAACCAAGCAAATACGAGACTGCGTTGTAAGAATCTTTTCAGTTTCTAAGGATACCAAATCTCAGCACATGAAAGGGATATAATTCATGGAAGAGATGAAAGGGGATGGCAACAAGGGAAATAATATTCTGTTGGCTGTTTAGTTAAGTTCTAATGATGTCTTTTTAAGAGTATGATTTTGTCATGACAATATAAAGAGCTGAGTGGGGCATTAAATGTCTTCAGAATTCCTAGATCACTGGCATGGCCTCTCACACTCTACCTTTTCACCTCCTCTTGCTTTTTGAGGACCACTCTCATCATTAACCCAAGTTCCCATGAACAAAAGCATAATGGGAAGCTGGGTAAATTATCAGAGGAAATAAATAGTCAGAAAGAGAAAATCTGTTGCTAGATGCCAGTTTGTCTTGTTTTTCAAATAGTGATTGAAATTTTTGTTTGAAAGACAGGTGCTGCTTTCCTTTGGGAAATATGTGCTGTTTTTCTCATTGTTACCACAATTTCTCTATATTCTCAATATTATCTTCCTGATGAAGAGCTAGTAAATACACCATGAGATAATTATTCTAATGAGATTTCAGCCTCTGGATTATAATTTGAAAATAAATTAGTCATTTGACTATATCTCCTCTATCAAACTGCTAAATGACTAAAGGAATTTGTGTAAATAGTAATTATATTAAAGAGAAATAATATACTAAGCAAAAACAAATGGGTAAATACTATACCATACATAAAAAAGAAGGATCTGTTACCCTTTGAGACAGCATGGAGGGACCTGGAGAGTATTATGCCAAATGAAATAAGCTGGTCAGAGAAAGACAAGTATCATATGATCTCACTCATATGTGGAATCAAATGAACAAAATAAACTGATGAACAAAATAGATCCAGAGATATAGAAACATGGAACAGACTGTTGAATCTCACACAGAAGGCAGGGGAGGGTGGGTGGGTGGGAAGAGATCAACCAAAGAACTTGTATGCATGTATGCATAACCCATGGACACAGATAATAGGGTGATGAAGGCCTGGGGTGGGGGACAAGATGGGCTAGAAGACTTCAATGGGGAAAAGGGGGAACATCTGTAATGCTTTCAACAATCTTTTCTTTTTATCTTGAATTTTCTAAATTATGTTTGACTATTGTATAACTCTGTTGACATGGTTCTACATTTATATTGAAGAAATATTTAAAGTAATTACAAATGAGAAAGGGTAAAAAGATAAAAAAGGGAGATAAGGTTTTCATACTTCACTTGAACTTGTAAAATGATGGCATCAGGAGACTGTGATAAGTTACGTATGTGAATACAGAATATAGAGTAACCACTAAAGATTCTATGCAGCCCTGGCTGGTTTGGCTCAGTGGATAGAGTGTCAACTTGTGGACTGAAAGGTTCAATTCTGGTAAAGGGCACGTACTTCGGTTGCAGGCTCCTCCCAGGTCCTGACCCTGGTCGGGACTTGCGCAGGAGGCAACCTATCGATGTATTTCTCTCACATCAATATTTCTCTCTGTGTTTCCCTCTCTTTTCCATTCTCCCTAAAAATCAATGGAAAAATATCCTCAAGTGAGTATTAAAAAAAAAGATTCTATGCAAAGAGATACACTGTAAAATATAAATAAATCAAAATGAACTTCTAAAATATGCTCAGGACCTACAAGATGGCAGAAAAATAGAAAACGGAGACAAGTAGAAGGCAAAACATAAAATGTCAGACTTCAGCCCAAACATACCAATAATTTCTTAAATATAAATAGTCTAAATGCACCAATTAAAATAGATTAATAGAGTGAATTAAAAACGTGACTCACCGTGGCCAGTGTGGCTCAGTTGGTTGCAATGTCGTCCTGTATACCAAAAGATCATGGGTTTGCTTACGGTCAGGGCATATAACCAGGTTGCAGGTTATGTGCCCTGACCATAACTGGTTAGGGTGCATATGGGAGGCAACTGATCAATTTTTCTCTCTCATATCGATGTTTTCTCTCTATCTCTCTCCCCCCCTCCTTTCCTCTCTATATAAAATTGATAAAAGTCCTCAGGTGAGAATTAAAAAAAAGTGACAACTATATAATGTCTACAAAAAGCTTATCCTATGTAATAAAAGCATAATATGCTAAGTGTCTGGCCAATTGACCAATCGCTATGATCGCACTGACCATCAGGGGGTAGATGCTCCGACCAGTAGGTTAGCTTGCTGGTGGGGTTTGGATGATTGGGACTGGGCGAGACAGCCCTGATTGGCCCTGATTGCCAGCTAGACTGAGGGATCCCACCCATGCATGAATTCGTGTGCCGGGCCTCTAGTATCAAATATAATTATATAGCTAGGTTGAAAGTAGAATATATTTAAAATGTTATGCAGCCCTAACCAGTTTGGCTCAGTAGATAGAGCGTCAGCCTGCAAACTCAAGGGTCCCAGGTTTGATTCTGGTCAGGGGCATGTGCCTTGGTTGCGGGCACATCCCCAGTTAGGGGGTGTGCAGGAGGCAGCTGATCAATGTTTCTCTCTCATCGATGTTTCTAACTCTCTATCCCTCTCCCTTCCTCTCTGTAAAAAATCAATAAAATATATTTTAAAAAGTAAAATAAAATGTGATGCAAATATTAATCAAAGTATAGGAGGACTAACTATATTAATAATACACAAAGCAGCCTGGCCTGTGTGGCTCAGTGGTTGAGCATCGATCCATGAACCAAGAGGTCACTGGTTCAATTCCTGATCAGAGCACATGCCCAAGTTGTGGGCTCAATCCCCAGTGTGGGGTGTGCAGGAGGTAGCCAATCAATGATTCTGCCAATGCAGATCTGCCAAACTCTTTTTCACAGTGATTTCACTATTTTACATTCCCCCCAGTAAAGTGTGAGGGTCACATCTTATTCAAATCTTTGCTGAAATTTTTTATATTTTGTTTTTTTAAATATCATATCCAACCCACACCAAGACACATCATAATTACGATGACAAATGTTCATGACAAAGAGAGAATCTTAAAGGTTGCAAGGGAGAGACAGAAAGTTACATACAAGAGATCTCCCATTAGATTATCAAATGAATTCTCAACAGAAACACATCAGGCTAGAAAAGAATGGACGGAAATTTACAAAGTGATGCAAAGCAAGGGACTGAATCCAAGAATACTCTATCCAGCAAGGCTATCATTCAAAATTGAAGGGTAAATAAGGAGCTTCACAGACAAAACAAACAAACAAACAAACAAAAAAAACAACTAAGGGAGTTTATCACTAGCAAGCCAGCAATGCAAGAAATGCTAAAGGGACTGGTGTAAAAAGAAGAAATAAAAAGGTAAGAAGGAACACAGGCACAAAAATAAAAATGGCTACAAAAAAAGTACCTATCATAAATAACTTTAAGTGTAAATGGACTAAATGCTCCAATCAAAAGACATCGAGTGGCTGAATGGATAAAAAAAAAAACATGACCCATATATATGCTGTCTATAAGAGACCCACCTCAGAACAAGGAACTCACACAGACTGAAAGTGAAGGGATGGAAAAATATATTTCAGGCAAATGGAAATGAAAAAAAGCTGGGGTAGCAATACTTATATCGGACAAAATAGACCTCAAAGCGAAGGCCACAACAAAAGATAAGGAAGGCCACTTCATAATAATAAAGGGATCGATACAACAAGAGGATATAACCCTGATAAACATATATGCACCCAATGCAGGAGCATCCACATACATAAAAAAAAACCTTGGAAGATATCAAGGGAGAGATCGACAACAATACAATCATAGTAGGGGACTTTAATACACCACTGACATCACAGGATAAATCCTTTAGACAAAAAATCAGCAAAGAAACAACAATCCTAAATGACTCACTAGATCAGATAGACTTAATTGACTTCAGAACATTTCACCCCAAAGCCACGGAATATATATTCTTCTCAAGTGCACATGGGACATTTTCAAAAATAGATCACATATTGGGTCACAAGCAAAGTCTTTCCAAATTCAAGAAGATTGAAATCATATCAAGCATCTCCTCAGACCATAATGGCATAATTGTAGAAATAAACTACAATAAAAACAATCTAAATATCATAACCATTGTAGTGAGTGTGTTTTTTATTTGTATTTCCCTAATGACTAATAATGTAGGTCATATTTTCATGTACTTATTGACCATTTAGCTATATCATTTGGAAAAATGACTATTCAATTACTTTGTCATTTAAATTGAGATATTTCTATTTTTATTGCTTAGTTGTAAGAGTCTTTCTACATTTTGGAAACTAGACTCTTATCAGATATGTAATCTGCAAATATTTCTCTTATTATATAAATTATCTTTTTCTTGATATTATTTTTACTGGATAAAAGTTGTGGGATTTTTTTATTTTTATGAAGTCCAATTCATTTTTGCCTTTGCTGCTCATGAATTTGATTTTATATCTAATATAATCAATACCAACTCTAAGAGTCATGAAAATTTATCTCTACATATTTTATAATTTTGGCTCTTATATTTAGGCATTCGACCCATTGCTAGTTCATTTTTATATATGTTGTGTTAAGAGTCCAAATTTATTTATATTGTAGCTATCCTGTTATCCCAGAACTTTGCTGGAGAGAATTCTTTCCTCATTAAATGGCCTTGGAACTAAAGCAAAACATAACTTGACCATAGATGTATGACTTTATTTCTGTACTTTTAATTCTAGTTCATAAATGTCTTTCCTATAACATTACCACACTCTTTTGATCACTGTGGTTTTGTAATAAGTTTCAAAATCAGAAAGTGTGGGTCATGCAATTTTGTTCTTCTTTTTCAAGATTGTGTTGACAATTAAGAGTTCCTTGCAATTTTATATAAATTTGTGAATCTGGATTTTCAGTTGTGGAAAGGAACTATCAGAATTTTGGTAGAAATGTCATTGAATCTATGGATAGCTTTGAATAATATTGCCATCTTAATAAGTCTTCCAATTCATGAACATTGGAAGTCTTTCTATTTATTTATTTTTATATATATTTTTTATCTTTTTCTTTTTACACCAACATGGTTTCTTTCTTTCTTTCTTTCTTTCTTTCTTTCTTTCTT